ACAAAATATCTGATGGTCACCATAATATATTATGCCATGGCTAATAAGTGGAGATAAATGAACTTTATCGCTAATAAATCCAAAGGATCATTTGCTTGGGATTTTACAGATTGCTCTAAGTTCTGCAATGATAGTCAAGTCACTCACACCCCCTTTCAACCAACAGAGGAACCTGGTTCCAGGTTAGAAATGCTATTATATTTGGTAACATGATAAAATTGTAGGAAAAAGTGTTTTTCGTTCGTAGCGTAATCCAAAGAACAACAGAGAAATCAAGAAGACATCGCATGAGGCAAAGGCAAAATTTGTGCCCCGTCAGAGGACACGGAGGCCTCCAGCTCTTCTGCCATAAACTCTGTTTAACAGCTGAAAGAATGAAGCAAGTACGTGAGAAACAGAAAATAACCTCCAGCTGCGAAAGCTCACAACAAACATAAAAAAGCAGGTGTGCCGTCGAAGGCTATAAGCTATTAATACTAGCTATTACTAACAGTTATTAGAAGTGATTAAACAACGAATTTGTAATATTCATGCTCAATTTAGCCAATGAGATTACGACAAAAGCATAAAATAATAAATTACCGAAATGCACGTCAAATCACCTGCACAAACAGAAACGATCAATTAAATACAGCAGTATGAAATAAATTAACAAACCTTTAATCGGCATTACGCTCTGTGAATAAAAGAAAATCTTTAGATCACTTAAATCATTGTTTCATTACTAGTCCTTAACACCACTCTGTTCTGACACAAATTGGCGGATGCAATTACTTTGCACAATTCCACAAGCAACTGCAGAACGAACTTCTCGCTGTACAGGGTTTCTCCTATACGATCGCAGCATTTATCCTCGTTGTCAGACTGTTCCGATGGGCTGGGATTTCTATCTCGCCCTTCCATCGCAAAATGCCTGGTCAGAAACGTTAGCCACCATCCGAGACTTCCAGATGATTTCGCCGCGATATACGGTACAAGTTAATTACAGATCTGCAAGTTGTTATTTATATCAGCAACTATACTTACGAACTATGAAAATACACAAAAATTATAAATGCTTACTCGGGTGGGCAATATTTCTAACCTGAAATGTTGATTATGAGTAATGTTAACAAGACAAAACAAATAATTAAACGGAAAACCTTTTTCTTTTCACAATGAATGCCGTGAACTGAGGTGCAATTAAAGCGATTCTGTAAATCCGGCTCTCCGAGACGGGCAGAAAATGGAGGCACATTGAGAAGCCTGAAGCCAAATTTTCATTTGGTTAAAAAATGATTAACTCTTATTAATTGTATTACGAGTTTGTGCAGTGATCTTTCATGTTCATTTCAGTCGAACAGTCACCATTAGTCAGAAATTTCCACTGTATTGAACAGCTGTTTTAGTGAAACAAGTTAAACGATAGATATCAATTTAATCATAGTTAATAGTCAAAGTTTCTTCATTCCACATAGATCTTATCGCGTTAGCAAATCAGAACTGTCAAAAAGTGTTTAAAAAATTTAAAGTAAGGCAATATAATCGCATGCCTATCGGTGTCTGTCCTGCATAGAAGAAAAAGGGAAGGATCGTACAATTTTGATTCTTGATAGGATTGTGTCTAGATTGAAATCAATTTAATAGATTCCCTACAATTATTAATACAATCAAAGGAGGTAAAGCTGAATCAACGTTAAGAGTCATCCACAAATGGGTTTCTTCGCTTGGAACTGTTTAATAATCGCAAGTTGTTAGAAGTTCATCTTTGGTTATGTGCATTGTTTCCTAGCGTAGAGTGCAATCTACGAATGGCAGTTTAGTTGATTAGGTAAATCTTTCTAATTTTTTTGAATATTAATGAAAATAAACGACGCGTATATTAATGACAACTGAAACGAAAGCAAAAATAAATGTTTCTTGGAGTCCATGTCGAATCATTAAAAAACGATAAAATGCTAAACTATGTCAATATTCAATGTTTGCGATAAAAAGTGAGCAAGAAATTTAGCATTAACATGCCAGGTTTCAGTTTATTTGCAAACAGATTATCATCTAGGTGTACAGTAAAGGGTAGGCTAAAGAAGGTATTATATGTATCACCGTCCTATTTAAAGTGATAAAACTTCAAGTTAAAATCCAAAAAGTTTTATAATGTAAAATCATAAAGCCGACTACATGAGGCCATTCACTAAATCAGGCTGTCATTTCCACACCGTTTATATATCAAGATCTTATGCTGTTATTGCAAACTAAATTCACGTATTGCCAAATTAACTGTCAGTAGAATTTAAGCAGAACAACAACTTTTGGTGAAAGCATTTATAACATCGCACCAGAAATTTGAGAGCATGAATCTAACGTAATTGGAATAGCAACCCAATTTACGCATCGAAAGATTTAAGGAAGCCGTCGAAACTTGGATCTGATTTTTATGTTGAATGCGGCACATGTCCTGCAGCAGAATCGAGAAAAAGTTGGAATGTTACACGAGCGCAGCTTCGTGAGCACAAGTTTCAAACAGAAGTTTACATCACGGTCTCCAAATTGGCAATCTATAAAAAGCAATTGAAGTTTATATTTAATAACTGTGCAGAGAAAAACACAGATATCTACCGGTTACCGCTGGGGCAAGATTGTCCTCGATGCAGGCACCGCTAAAGCACCACTAAAATGATAATTTTTATTCTCAATATACGTCAATATTTGTGTTGCTTACCATCCTATTACCACAAGTAGTGCCAGTAAATGCAGGGAGATAATGTTTTGTGTAACAACGACTGTTTTTGCCTTCCTTCAAATCCTTACACCAAAGTCTTCTACACATTTGCTTTAAGTAGTAGTCGTTATCCTGCAAAGAAGTGTCAAACGCAGATAGCATACAAAATATCAAGAAAAAATTAGCATGACCGTCAGTTTTATGATGCATTAGTTCTATGAGTTGCAAAATTCAATTAACTGGTCGACGGGCCAGACTTGCCACAACATGGCTGTAGACGTTGCCTTTAAAATAAGATACTCCTGGTTAATGACACGAATTGGAGATCAGTAGCGTATCATGGCAAAAAAATGATGCTTTAAATGAGGCTCATCATGGAGAGGTAAGGGCTACCTCCCTCTGGCTATAAATTTGTTTTTTCATTCTTTTTCCTAAAGTCCAGAAAAGACCTTTGGGCAGGACGATTACTCAACATTATTTTATTGTTTAAAAAGCATCTACGTAGTTCAGACGGGATCATTTGTAGTGTTGCATAATATATGACTTGATGTCACAATGATCACATCGCCGTAAAAGTTGGCAGTGAAAAATTTTTACCTCATTTTACCTTTAGAAAAGAAGGAAAGTGGAAAATGTACTGTGCATGGTAGCTTACGACTATTTTTACTCACACTTTAGAATAATCGTAAATTAAAATTATTTTTCTGCGTCATTAATGCGAAATTAATCGACTGCTATCTTCGATGCAATGATTTTGAAGTGGATACAGTAGAAGTATGGCGTAATACCCATAACAAAAGGTACAGTATAAGGCACACTACATACAAGCTTCGTAGGCAGGTTTAGTGTGACATTTTTGTCGCAGTTTAGAAATAGTAAATGAACGGTTGGTCGATCGTATAAATCGCATTACGCTGTTGGTCGGTCTGTTGATCAGCGATCGGGCGAATCTGACGGAAACTCACATTCATTGCAATGTCGCACGTTTCGCAATCCTTGGCACCCTCTTCGACCGCCTGTCTGGGAAACTCAAATACCGAAATGAGTCCAGTTGTAATGGTAAAAACTCTAAACCCCTGAGCTCCCCATCCCACGTTCGTCAACGGCATCCGGTCAATAAGTCAATTCCGTATGGTCAGTTACCAAATGACATTTTGGAACAGTTGGGAAGTCGACCGTTCTTCACGTAGGCCCTTAAGTACAAATTCTTTGGTTAAGCGTGGAGGAAATGACTTCCATTCAGCTCAACGCATTTTTGTCACTTCCTTTTGTAAAACTGCACTATTTGTCGTTCAGTTTTTTTCTATCCCTGGAACTGGTACGCTTTCTGGTTTAAGGTGATGAGTTTAAAATAATGGTAACCTATAATATTTAATCGACCGACGTCAGTCACAGACCTAAAAATTGTTTGTAAGCGATTTTGTCGAATCTGAGGCATTCGTGGCATTATTGTTTATCGTTGATCATCAGGCAGTCACCTAGAACACCCAATTTTTAAGGATCTGCGATAACCAGAATCAGTCGAACTCCAATCGCGGAAGCCATCTTGACAATGTGCAACAATCAGAGACAAGTGGAGGAAAGCTTGACAGTATTATGGCGCATCCATCAACTCTTATTTCATTAGTTCATTATTCAAATAATTATTAATTATAACTACGTAATGGTTTTGTGTTCTAATTCACAGTTACAGCAGTTTAGTAATTAATATTTACGTTACAATAGCGGAAGGTAGCACCAAAGGCAAGCTGGCACTGCTGGTTGGCATCAAATAGTTGTCCTGGGTGAGCGCCGATATTCTTAAAGCCAAAATGTCGCCTCTTCCTCACTCGATGCCGCTGCAAGCATTGTAGGACGGCCGAACCATTCCTACAACAAGAGGAAAGTGTTCAACGAACCGCATACAAGGCGCAAAAAGCTTCGGCTTATACCGACGGAATATGTGTTCCCGTATCTGCTTGACAGTGCAGTTGGAAAACGTGAATGTGTTGGCTACCGTATCCCTGCTTGACGACACACCGGGAACCATGAGGTAGTTGTGGTCCGTCGGGCAGTAGTCATTGATCTTGTCTCCGTCGTGCTGCGCACCCAGGCTGCAAGTACCTGGTGTGACACAGTCTGCCAGTATCAACTAAGACTTGAACGGTATTACCTGTGGGCAAGTTCGTGTCCAGCTACTGCGGCCGTTGCCATACCACCAAGGTCCTCAACCAAACTTATTGACTCGCCAATTTTGCATATGGATTTAATGTATGCGATTCCTGCAAAATCAAAATTACTTGACCGTTGTTTTACATAAATAGCAGTTGTATGACATGGGTCTTTTCAAATCAGAAATTAGAAAACTACAGTACAGATTGACTGAAGTTAAAAATGCCAAAGAAATCATGTGATGATCACGTCCGTTTGTCTTGGTTTTTTAAATCTCAGTGAAGCTACATCTAAGTAGTCAGGCAGTCGGTCGGTCAGTCAGTCAGTCAGTCAGTCAGCCAGCCAGTCAGTCGATTCGTGGAATCTGCAATCGTAAAATTGCTCGTTATGCGCAGGGAGGCGTCGGAATAATGAAAAAGTTGGACACCATCACCAGAGGGGAAAAGAAAGCCGCAAGTTCATGGAACTGGACAACGCGTGCTCGGGTTGATCCCCTGTTCAAATCATGGGGGCATGAAAATCCAGGGGTGCTGTTATTGCGGACTGTGAAGGCGCCTTGAACCTTCACACGTGGCGACCCTTTAGCCTGCGGAAGAATCGCATGATAAATGCCATACCCGTGCGTCAGTCATTACCGTGCGTCGGTACTCCAGCGACGCCTGTAGAGAGCGACGCGATCAGGAAAAAAGGCTGCAATTATCGAAGCTGATTCGCCCATGATGCAAGATCAGGAAATGACCGTATGCGCGTAACACCTGGTTAGCCAATTGCCGCACGACCGACCGAGAGAAAACCATCAAATCCTGTAAATTTACTGGCTTCCTGACGATGATAAGTACCATGTGAGGGGGCAATGTCTGTGCACTGATGCACTGAACGAATAAACGTATCGCTACAACTTTCAGCAGAAATATTGACAAAGAGGATTGACGACGAAGTGTGCACTTACTGTAATAAACCCCATCGTTACCGAACAGCAGTCGAGTGTCGGATAAGGACGTTGGGTGGTGAGTCGACGATTGTTGAAAAAATGTTTGCTGAAACAGAGCGATCTTTTCGTCTAGTTTGTTGCCATCCAGACATAGAGACTAATCTTTGGTATACTGAAGAAGACCTCGACCATGTAGACTCCTCACAGCGGTCTGTTAAATGAACAGGATCGAAACTGGAAATGGAGCACTATTCCTTTTCACGAGCGCTAAATCTATGGTTTCTTACACATATGCTGTGCATACAACTTTCATATACTGGGCTCATTGTGAAGGTACAATGGTACCATTAAATAATGTCTAAGCAATATTTAAAGTGGTGGATAAGAAGTACTATTAAAATAATAGTTTTACATTTCAGGAATATACTATGTGCAGCCTGAAATACGGCATAAAAAGCGGTTTAATTGCAACTAAAGGAAATCCATTAGTATATCTCATGATAGCCACTACCGACGCTTCAGTCCATATCTTACAGATCGTTTTCAAGCTAAGACTGGTGAACGTTGTTTAATGTAGATACCATTGTTTGCAGTCGTTGTTTTGCGTTGAGCTGTACAGTATGTATTAGACACACGGTCCAGCTATAATGATTCTCTGGTAACA